AGCTGTCTACGCTGGCCGTTTGAATTTCCGCAAGAACACTGACGATCTCATGTAAGATCGTCAGTGTTCTTGCGGAAATACTGTGCTGCTCCCGTTCGTGCAAAAGCCCTCTTGCGCAAATCATTTGTGCAAGAGAGCCAGTGTATTCAGCACAGTACTGTTTTCCACAAAAAAACCCCGATTGCGAAAATGGCGATCGGGGCTTTTTTTTGCGGAAAACCGCATCTAGATTGGCCATGGACACTTTTCCGCAAAAAGTGCTTTTGCGGAAAAGCATCCTGCCAATCTAGACGTGCTTTTCCAAAAATACTTTTAACGGAAAACTTTTCCTTTAAAAGCATTTTCGGAAAATCATGCCAGTGTAGACGTAGCCAGATTATAAACTTCTTAGGGCAGAAAAATTCTTCGTACAATGTTGAGCCCTATCAGCTCCACCTCCTGTCAGTATAAAATGGCAGCTCAAGTTCACCACATTGACTAAATATTGTGAAATCACCTAATATATTTGTTCATGTTTATTGTTCTTTTTTACTGTCAGAATTGACAGACACCAGAATGCTTCTGAATTTTAGCACTGAGTATGCAAACATATCTCAGTTATTTCTTCCACAAGTCACAGTGGGATGGAGTGAAATCCTGCCTGAGGCTTAATAATCAATTAATTGTTGTACAGGTACAATAGATGTACCCAATTAGTTGCTCCCGAGCAAGAGGGTTGGGAGTTGTATCAGGTGATAACTTAATGGACACCAAGGACCCATGATTAGGGAGAGAGTTAACTGTGAAGTGAGGAATCCCAGGGAGAAGAGGGAGTCCTGTAAAATTGCTAGACCCGGAGTCTGTATGTGAGCAGAGATCTCAGAGATACTCATTCTGAGAAGCCCATGCTCAACATCAGAACTGAGGGAGAAAAATCTGGAGTTGCTGAAGAGGACTGAAGCCGGAACCGAGAAAAGTAGATTTGATAAGGAATGCTGAGTATTAGTTTGCACTTTTGTTGCCCTCAAAGAGGTTGGACTTAGAAACTTATCCTCTTCGGGACAGAATTACACACAGACTGATGACCTGCAGGATGTGCTGGAGTCAAGATTCCTGAAAGATCACAGCTTGATGCAAGGGAGCCCTCTAATGGTGAGTGTGCACACAAAGAAAGTGCAATGATTAGAATGTAACCAACGCAGTGGACAAAATGGTGTCTCTATTACCCATTACTTTTTGTGTTCGCTTCTGGAAGCTAAGAATTAAAATTACAAATGATCCTATTTTCCCCTGTTAAGGAGCTCAGGGAAAAGTCTTCAGGATTTATTTTTAAAGGTAGGTGGGTTTTTCCAAATTTCTATAAATATGGATATTTTCAGAATATTTAAAGGCTGCATTGGTTGGCAGGTGTGAAATTCACTGTAGAGGATGTTGGGTTGTTATTGTTAACCATGTGACTCCAAAATAGTACTGAGCTGTCTGGAAATCATTAGCAGGCATTGTTGATGATAGATATGACAATGCATACTCAGAAATTGCTTTCATTGCCATTTAAATTTAAAAAAATGCATTGAAGCTGGCCACTTGATCTCATTAGGTAGTCATAGTCTGTATTGTACTATTGATTGGTTTGTACAAAGGCATTTTAGAAGAACTCTGATAGCTACGCATGAGTAGTCAATAACCATGAAACACTAATTTTATTATTTCAAATACAGTGGGCATAGGGGAGGGGCCAGAGAAGGAGGAAGGTTTGTTTTGAATTTTTACAGTTCACTAAAATCTGAACACTCAGAAAGCAATATTAGAAAACAGTTGATTTTCCACTTGGATAACTATACCACACTTCTAAACAGGACTCTAATTTATCTCTGGTTAAAATGAAAATATGGCCAATTTTTTAAATTGTCATGTTGGTTCTTAGCTTGTTTGTTAAATATGGCAATATTCAACATCACACATTTATCTTAATACCTCTCTGCATTAATCTTATGGGATATCAACTTATACTGCAATTCAAGTTCAAAATCAAGCAGGGAAGCAGAACCATGTACTAGTACATCCTGGAAGCTCTGCCAATGAAAGTTTGTACAAAGATTAATATGTTTACCAAAGGTTTAATATTTTAAAGAGGAAGTATAAAATGATTTTCCTGGTTCACACAAAACACAGCGCACACTCCTGAAATGAAGTGAAATTAGCATTAATAGTTCATAATGGAGTAATACATTTGTTTTCATTCTTCATCCTGATTCTACTATGTCGATAGCCAAAATCACTTAAAACATAGGACAATCCTTCAGTTTTCACTCAGCCACTAAGGATTATGGGTATGTCTACACTACCACCCTAGTTCGAACTAGGGTGGTAGTGTAGACATACCCATAATCCTTAGTGGCTGAGTGAAAACTGAAGGATTGTCCTATGTTTTAAGTGATTTTGGCTATCGACATAGTAGAATCAGGATGAAGAATGAAAACAAATGTATTACTCCATTATGAACTATTAATGCTAATTTCACTTCATTTCAGGATAGACATACCCTATGGAATTTAGCTCTTTATTTGATGTAGGTACTATGATAACAGTCTTAGTGTATCCTGCACTTTCAGGTTGAATACTAGTCTCAGAGGCTCACAGCAGCCCTCAATTTAGACACTGACTTGTTATTTGTTGAGCTACTCTCCTCATTGGATAGCATGGGGAAAAGAGGGGAAACCAAACTTCTTAGCCTCTGTGGCCCCTTCCAGTGATACAAGGTAGGACAAACCCTTGTACCAAAGCCAGTCCCTTCCTAGTACTGATATGGGGAGTTGGTTGTGGGGAACCCGGGACTGCCCTCTACTCTAGGTTCTAGCTCAAGGACTCTGTAATAGCAGCTGTACATAACATTTCTAGTAACAGCTGTGTGACAGCTATAAATTCCAGGGGCACTTCCCCAGAACTTCCCTTACCACAGGTTCTTCCTCCTGGTATCTGCTTGTACTTTCTTCGCCCAGAATCTCCACCACACTCACTCTCATCAACTCTTTCCTCACACACTGAGCAAAAAGAAGAGAAGCCCTTTTAAACTGGTCTCAACTGGTTCTTAATTGGCCCCTGGGTGTTCTGATTAATTTAGCTCCCTTCAATCTGAAAGCCTCCTAATAGGTTCCAACTGCTTTAATTGGCCTTGATTGCTCTGATTGACTCTAGCAGATTCCTACTGGCTCCGGGTTAGCCCTTGGGTGTTTACCCTAGGAACAGGAACCTATTTAACCTTAGCCTTAATATATGTCCCCTCCAACACTCTCCTGTATCCCTCACAGTACAAATCTATATCTATATAGACATATAGGTGTGTGCCCAATTTTAATCTCACACCACTGTCATTCTAGTGATTTTAACAGGCATTTCCCCTCACTTGCACTGGTTTCAATGAAATCAGAATTAACTCATTTATATTTTCTGATAATATAATTATCATTCACAATTTAAGTGGTGATATCTCTGCAGTGCAATGCAAAAGCTGTTTAACAACTCACAACAGTATTGTACAACAGCTGAGGACAGGAACAGAAAAGAAATAGATTGAGATGT